TCAGTCCTCCTTTGGAGGACCCCCATTCCAATGTCCTGTCGGAACTCATGGAACTTGTGTTGGACTATATTCCAAAATTAGGGGCACATACATACTTGGGTAAGGGGCACAGCACACGAGCTGAAGCCAAGCCCCTCAGAATCTGCCTTACCCCTGAGCACGGTCTTAACACTGACCTCGGACTTACCTTAGGCGCTACAGATGCAGGGATAGAAGTGTATGTTGACACTGACTGGGCATCTCAGCCCCATCGCCACTCTATGTCAGGCTATATCATGTTGTTAAATGGTGGTCCAGTAGCATGGAGTGCTCGTAAGCAACCTCTAATCACGCTCTTGATGGCTGAAGCCAAGTACATTGCTTTAACGACTGTCGCAAGAGAGATCCTATACCTGCAGCTACTGATTGAAGAGTTGTACGACTCACCCCCTACCCCAGTATACTACAAAAACCAGGCTGCCATAGTGCTCACTTCTAACAACAAGTTTCAATCCTGTACCAAGCATATTGATCTTTGATACCACTTCATCCGCGCTCACGTCAAGAATGGCACATTCACACTTACATACTGCCCCACCAATGACAATCTCACAGACACTTTCACCAAAGCTCTACCACAGCCACGACTTCAGAAGTTACACAGGCTAATGAGCTTGGATTGCGCTTGAGGGGGAGTGTTGGATTCAGGAATGAAAGAGCAAGAGATAGTAAAGTGAGACAGTATGAGTGCAACCTGAGAATGCGAAGAATGATGCATTGACGTTGGCCAAGAATACTAATATTGAACTGTCAATTCCTAGCTATGGTATATTTCATTATCGCTACGCTACTTACTATAAACCTATGAGTTTCCGTTAGAACATCTCAGTCCTTTACTCAAGACTGAGATGTGAGTACCTAGTTTTCCCATCTGCGTAAATCGAGCTAACATACCCATAGATTATATTCTTATTGTTAGGTACCGTGCCGACTCAGGAAGCAGAGGGGTCGGGGCTTGGCTTCAGCTCTTGCGCTGCACCCTTAGCCGAGTACATGCCCCGAATTTGGAGCGGGTCCGATGTTGTCCGACGATAGGATGAGTGGACCGCTTAGGTCCACCTTGAGGGTCGGGAGGTGAGAGCTACTAGCGGAGGTTCCTACTTGGAGCAGAGCAGATGGAGGATAATGGGGAGGGTGGAGAGGAGCAGGGGGAATACTTGATAGGAGCAGAGGAGGTAGAGGATAATGTGGAGGGCAGAAAGGAGCAGGGGGAATACTTGATAGGGGTGGAGAAGTAGAGAGAATACTTAGAGCACGGATCTAAGTCGGAGCAGAGGGTCGGAGGTGACAACAAGGTGAAACTTGTGTCCAGAGGAGGCAAGGTCCTACTGATAATTCTCACAAGTAGTAACTGCAAGAAGACAAGTAAAATTAAGACTGGGGAAAATATCTAAGTACAGGATATGTTATATACTTCTATGTATGAGGCAGTGATCAGGATAACTATGTTGTAAAGCTATGTACCAAGGATATAGTTTGTAAGTACTTTACACAGGCGAAGACATAAGTCGGAGCAGATATTGATATGTACGTGTCGGATCAGTGATGGAGCGGTGATAGGAATTACCGGTGATCTGGAAGTAAGGGTCTATGTACCGAAGGGGAAAGTATATATCTATAAGGGGAAAGAGGTTCCAGTTGAATGGAGACGTTATGGAAGGGGACCGGTTGGGCGATCGAGCGGAAGCGTAAGGGCGGATGCGGACAATGATTGGACAGAGCAGAGGATGGATGGAGCGGAGGGGGTTGGAAAGTGGAGTGGATATTAATATCGGAGCAGTCAGATCAGGTATATGACATAAACTATATCACCTCCCGCACCTCATCAGTAAACCACAATGGTCTGTACAGAGCTGTACAGTTCACCAGAGCCACAGCTTGGTCCCACTGTCACAGACAGGCCCATCTCTGTACAGCTCTGTACAGAGCTTCCCAGAGCTCCACAGTAGCCCTCTAGTCACACAGAACCTTCCCAAACATATTAGAAATCGCTTTTTTCATTTTTATATCAACTCAAGTCAAACATGTAAAATTAAATTTAAACAAATGGATTGCAAAAGAAGCAACTACTCTACTGGACTCATCAATACAAACAGCGAGTAAGGATGTGAGATAATCAAAGTGCAAGAGTGCGAGAGAATGGGTTGTCATCATAGTTGTAGTCATTTGTCATTGTCATGTTGTTGTCGTGTCGTGTCATTGAGTCACCGTCGTTGTCGTGATAGCGCTGTCATAAAGACAAGTTGTTAGTAATGTATATATAAATGAAAATGAGAAAATGCACCTATTGTGCGCACCTCAAACAAACAAGCGCAAACACAAAACAAGCATGAAAATACTAGTAAGTAATGTACATACATACATACATACATACATACATAAAAAAAAACACCTTCGAGTGGCAAGAAAGATGGGCAAGAGACGGGGCATGATGGGGCACGAGAGACGGGCAAGAGAGATGGGTGAGAGATGGGGCAAGAAGACAGGCGAGAGATGGGGCATGAGAGATGGGCGAGATGGGGCATGAGAGACGGGCGAGAGACAGGGAGAGAGATCACACAGGGTGAGAGAGATCACACAGGGCGAGAGAGATGGGGCGAGAGATGGGGCATGAGAGACAGGCAAGAAACGGGGCACGGGAACATGAGAGATGGGGCGAGAGACAGGGCATACGAGCATGAGAGACAGCACAAGAGGAGAGGGCACGAGGCTCATCAGTGCTGGGGAACAGATCAACTAAGGTTGAAGTAGTTAGTGCTGAGTCTGCCGACTGTGCCGAGAGAGTGGGAGAGGGTGGTTAAGGTAAATATAAGCAAGCAGTAATAAGAAAATAAAGAAAATAAAAGACTTACTTGAAGGATGGCAGTGGTGCAGGTAGAAGTTCAGAGTTGAAGTGTAGAACAAAGACTTCTGAAATTTTCGACAAGTTGAACAATGACTTACATCAGCATTGCCGAGTTCCATCAGTGAACTGGTGGGAATGTGAGAAGGACATATATTACAATATATAGTAGACAATCACCAACATCAGTATAATTCTGCTACCGGCCGTTGCATTGTGATGCTTGACTTTATAAAGGAAAGCGGAGATTTGAATTCGCATGCACAGGTTTGCAACTTGCTAAAGGCTCATGGATCACCTAAACTCAAGATCGAGAGGTAGTTGGTGCAAAATCTGATGTTCGATCTGAATGAGTCATGCCTACCACTTGTGGAACTAGGTTCACAATTTTTAAGATCAGAGCAGAAGTTGGTACCTTGTAAAGACCGACAATTTGTCCACAGATCGAGCTTGAACCAAATGATATGCTGGTTTGGTTCATTGGTCCGAGCGCTTTGAATTTATAATGTAGTTCTGTTGGGTATCATTGACTACTCCATACAAAACTGCTGTAACTTCTTGTGGAAGCAATAATTTGTGCGTCAATTGAGCAAGAACCAAATCAAATGCTACATCGAACCTTTAGCCTATCTGCTCTGAATAGGCAGTGTTGGTCGGGTGGTGATTGATGGCTATTCCATACAAATTTGTTTTAGCTTTGCGTCGGCGGTACATTTTCATGACATAGACAGTAGGCTAGAGACTTGAGAGCAGTGGCTCATGGTTCACCTTGGCACTCAATTTACCATTTGATAGGTGTCCTATCCATTGTGCCATTGTCCATAAAATGGTGTGTCTTTATACCCTACTTCAATGATTGTTGATGCGCCCATAGACAAGGAGAATATCCCGGCTAGCCTATATACCATTAGCAGGCTTATGATTTCAATGTGTTTTACGATTACTGTCATCTTGCAGTCCTACACTTAATTGCTGTCCCCTCGTGTTGTTGGTAAAGTTGACCGTTTCTGGCCCCCTACATTAGTAATTATTTATCTGTCTATTTGGAAAGTCTCTGTTTGCATTTGTCGATCCCAACAATTATGCTATTGCTGGGCAATACTAGGCATTTATGTAAACCTCCTGAAACTGAAGAGAAGACCACAGAAAGCCTGCGGATAAAGATAGTGTCCTGAATACCCCATGTGCCATGTGCGGTACTGTGATTTCAGAATGTATTTACAATTGTGTCCATTTGTCACCTGTCCCAAGAAGTCACAGCTGTGCATGAATACTGTGGAGTTATGACCTAGTAACTTGACTCAGAAATTGACAGCCAAGGGTCATCCCTCGCCATGGTACTTCGCCTACTATTCAACAGCTGTCATATATATTTGGCTCATGCCATCAATGTAATCTATACATGTGTGTCGCTTCAACTTTAAAAGCCATCTTTTTCATATGTCTAATGTTCGTCAACTGTATATTGGTTTGGATGTGTGTGAAGAAGTTATATCTTTGCACAGCATCTGAGCTTTGTTCAAACAGGCAGGTGGCAATTAATTTGTATCATGCCTCGAGTCTCAAGATGATACTCTCTGAATAGCTAACAGCTGGCGGTGATTACCACTTATGACTGTGTCCCAAGAAGTTGGAGCTGTTTGCAGACCATGTGTCATCGTAGCAATGTACCTTGACTTCAAATTTGGCAGTGGAGGGTCATGTATCAACCTCAGTACCCAGCTTACAATTTGACTGCCCTCGGACGTATTGTGCCATGCATCATGTTCTAGTTGTAGCTGTGCACAGAATTCAGTGATGTTCATGGTTGCACTGCACTCCCCGGATCCAGTTTATCCAACACAAGCACGCAGATTCATGAACTGGAGCTTGAATCACACTGTTAGCATGAATGATCAAGAATACTCATGGTTGCGCTGCACTCCCTGATTTAGCTTAACCAACACAAGCATGCATATTCATACCATCTGACACAGCAAGCTTATGAATCCCCAGATTGGACTCGGAGAGCACTCTGAAGGTAGTAGCTCAATATTATTCATTTATTTTACACCAAGCAGATTAGCATCAAGCTGGACATTAATATGGAAGTGATAGTAAACTATACGATGAGGGATCTCTAGGCCGAGTCAAAGGCCGCATCATCGCATTGTGCCCTCTGCATTGCGAGGGCATTGACAGACATTCTGGCCTTTGCCACATCACTGATGTCGTTACGGTGGCTCCGTCCAAAAACCTTCCTAAACAGCAGAGTTCAGGTGATGTTTATTGAGAGAAATACATGACACACCTACTCCACCACTTGAGAAGCTTGTTGACCCTGCACTGTGCATCTCGACCAGGGGGCCTTTCAAAGAAGTCAACAATAGTACACCAGAATTGAACATAGTCAAAATTGCCATCAACAGACCATCATGATGTAACCAAAGAAAGTGAGAATCGAACCTGCCAGAATGGTTATCATACATCATCACTGACCTCGCCAGATACTATGACCTACTAGGCACATGATGTATGCGATTGAGCGAGGAGTGACCTTTTTCATATTGATGATCTGCACTATGTGTTTTTTGACCTTAGCTCCGTTGAAAGACTTCCTGGCGCGTCTGTTGTTCTGGATGATATCTGCTCCATCCCCATCACCTTCAACGTCCTTTGCTGAGGAAGGTGACGTGAACACGGCTTTATATCCCTGCCTAAAAGTGAGATTACAACCAGGCTATACTAGTGAAACAGACCTGAATGAGTATTTTGCCTTTGAACAAACCCTCCTCAAGATCATCCGGATTGGCAGTATACCCATCATACAGGTAGGCCGGAAAGGAGAGATCCATCACAATATAGCCCTCTGAGCAATCTCGAATGCCTGCCCGGACCCTGGTGAGCAGTGAGCATTTTTTTCTCGGCATTCCAAGAGCACTACTTACACTGGGTTGTTCCAATCTAGTTTGGCAGGGCAAAGCAGCCTGCCGCATGCATCATTGGAGAATCCACAGGTATGTTTGTCATTGGAGTCGACTGGTGAATCTGGCTTGAATTCCCGATTGACCCATTCAGAAACAAGAGCCTTGAGCTTCGAGGTATTGTCACCTCGAGCACTGTCAGCCCCCTGCCAAAGCTATAAGAAAAAGACTCAGCAATGAAGAACCAATCACTGACGTATGTAAAACCAACCATTTTCAACATCTGCGTGTATTCATTGTGCTCCATCTCTGACCCATTCCTGTAAAGCCATGGTAAGGTGGTTGAGAGGGTGACATACCCTATTTGTAGCTGATCTTGGCTACATAATCAAGCTCATGGTTAATGCTCACAAACCAACTTCAAAGTCGAAAGACTCACTCAATAGTATGGTCTTCATTGCCACCTTCATATCTTCGATCGATTTCAGCAACGAGGTCCTCAATGTTATCGAATAGAGCAACAATGCACTTGATTGCCCTTCCCTGAGCCGCATAATAGTTTGCTTGCCTAAAACATACAGTCAGAAAAGTAAATGATAGAGCAGTACGTGTGATCACAGCGGTCATACTTTTCTTTGACCACACGCCCCAACTCGAGAGCCTCTAGCTTCTCCTCCAACTGGGCAATTCTTTGTCTCTGGCGAGCCTGCACAGATGCTGCCTGTACTGCAGACTGTTGGCTGTGCGCGTTGGTTGTAGATGTTTCGCGATGCTTGCTCTGCATGCCTTTGACGTTGCCATTTCTCGGTGTCCAGTGGGATGTCCTCAGCGTGCACCATAGAGACAAGGGGAAAGGAAAAAAATGAGCTGGTATAGAGAAGGGCATTGCACAGCAAAGGGAAGGATGGAAAGCACGACTTGGGGACAAGGGATGATACTAATCACCTTGTACCTTATATACCCGTTGGCTAACCGTGCAAAAAGCATATTCCTATTCAGGACAACGTTGAAAATATGGTGATGAAGTCGCTTGAGCAAATGCCTGTTTACGAAAATACTAACATTAGATATAAGGAACAAAGTCAAAAACAGAATGCTTGATATTCTCCTAGTATATTAAGCTCGTATAGCCCTGTGAGATTGGATGATGTAATCCTGTCGGGTAGCTGCCTCAGTGTGATCGACTCAGACTCAGAGGGGGTTCGTGTACTCATCTTCGTTGGTCGGGTCAATAACGGGCAGTCTGATGCCCAGTAAGGATAGTCATCCTGAATAGATCAACAGGTATCCTCGAATCATCCTGCATTCTCATATATTCCGCAAACCAGGCCTTGAGCTCTTCCAGACACTGCAAATTTGTCAATTTCACATACATCAATATTCAACAGATAGTACATATGCAGAGTCCCCAGCAACAACCGCCTCCTTCTGCCTCAGTACCCGACATTGTTTCAGCATCTGGCAAGGGAGAATGTTGTTCGCTCGGACTGGCACCTAGACTGATATGATAGCGAGTGCAACTTGAAGGATGATTTAGCTTGTTTTTCAAGTTGATGCGTAGCATAGTCACTAAGACCGGGCAAAGACATGGTGTCCCCAATTTATGACAGTTCTTAGTTTCTTGTTCAAAGGCTCAGAGGATGGTGACTCCGAGTTTCATGGTCTTGATTTTTCTTTTCTCTCTGGATGCCTAAAGGAATGACACCTTGTCTGGTCTGCACGTCAAAGGCTTTAGGATTCAATAAGTACAAACAACCATTGCGAAGCTCACTTCTATTTGTGATGATTATATATCATTTGAGTACATATAACGCAGAAGCCTGATAATAATGCACAAAAAGCATGTGTTCACGACACAGCAGATTCATATCTAACTTGTGCACAACAATATTAATTATCAGTCAGCATCGTCATGGTTGGCAAATTTTCAATGGTGTGTTGAATCTGCCACTGATAGATAATAACTTCCTGGTAGTGACTATCAAATTATTCGAATGACTTGGATGACTCGAAGGTATGCTGCAGTAATGAAAATTGAGCTCAAATTTATGAGCTTTGGAGGGAGCTTTAGAAAGAGACATAATTATGATCGCACTGGTCATCCCAATCGTACTTGTCACCATCATTGTCCCCCATAGCTCCCTCATTTAGTTCTCTGTCGAGTACCTCTTCATATTCTTCATGGCCGTCGTCATAATTGTGACCCTCGCTATCACCAGCCTCTTCAAGGTCTGCGTCGTCCTCACTATCTTCAATTACATTGTCCATAGGATTGGCCAGCGCCACCGATACAAAACCCAGGCAATCCCTAGCGATCTTCCGTAGCATTGGGGAATGTCCGACACCAAGGTGAGTATACCGCATGAACATATCACGATCAATGAATCTGGCTCGAAATTTGAGTGTTAATGTGTTACTAGGAGATCTGTACCACCTACATCCCAACATAATACTGCTCCCAGTCATCCAGCTGTCCTACAGGGCATGCCAGTGACTTTCCATAGCGCAGTGAGCTCACACCGTGTCCTGTGGCAAACGCAGGGATCAGATGTGCCCCCCGGATTACCTGCCCAGGATCAAGGAACCCAAAGGCATCCCGGTCGGACTCCTCCACAAACCCAATCTTTGGAAGGTGAGCATATTTAATGCCAGACCTATGGCCCTGTATGGCTGCCAGCCATCTGACCCAGAGTACCTTGAGATGCCACTTCACTGGTTGAGCTCCACCACTGAGCCATACCTCCATATGGTAGATGCCCAATACCTGGGCATACCAGTAGGGGTGGCTAGGGGTTGTCTCTCCTGAAAGCACCATGATGTCCCCATGTGTTCTTGGATTGATCGTGTCATACTCATGCCTCAAGTTGTAGGTCATATAGTGCACCTGCATAGTCTGGACGGAGTAGATCGTGTTATTGGGAATAATAACAGAGTTTCGTTCCTCGTCTGTGAATGTATGGTCGCAACAGCTAACATCTAGCTCCCACAACCTGTAGATGATGTGGTCCCTTAGTTTTGGTACAAAATTCTAAGTGTCTCTGTGAATAAATTATACCGTGCCGCCAGAACAATGTTACTTCTACCTTAAGGGCAGGATCACCATCATTTTCTCTGAGAAATGCAAAAACATCGACTGGGTTGTTCCGAGTAGTTGTGATATGGTGATGCTTTTCATAGGACGCCGATGGGGGGGCATTAGCTGGCAGTTGGCTGCTAGAGGACTATGTGTCTCCAACTTCTGCTACTCGTCGTAGTATGCAGCGCCTATGCTCGTGTTTGGCTAATTGCGCCGGGGTATCTACTTTGCTGGTCAGTGGATAAAAGGCCTTCAGTGCTTGGTGAGCAAGCTCTCCCTGACACGACTTAACTTTAGGTACATAGCATGAATTTAGACAGTACTTACGATTTGAGTAGAGAAGGAATCTGTTGTCCCAAAAAGCCGGATGGTTCTCACATAATCCCCCATGGCATGAAACTTGTAGGTTGCCAAGTTGAACCTCTTCATCCTCGGCCCATTGGACTCTGGGATGGTGCCATTCATTACAGAGCGTTTGTTAAGGTCGTGCTCAAGGGAGAGGTTACTCAAAGGGCTTTGGCTTCAGCTCGTGCGCTGTGCCCCTTACCCAAGTATGTGCCCTTAATTTCCGGGGGACAGAGGGGAAGTCCAATGGAAGTCCAGGGAATTCCGGAGGACAGAAGTTGGTGGAGTTTGGCGGAACTCCGGAAGACTTATGTGGGGATGGAGTAAGGCTACTACAGAAGTCCGGAGTAGAAATAGAACAGAGTTTAGACTACCTTAAGGTAGAGCCGGAGAAGTAGTCCTAAGGTTTAACCCCTAAGACTCAGAGGTGGACAAGAGATGAGACTCAAGTCTGGAGATTGCAGGAATGAGCAGAACTAAGATGATATTTGAACTGAGGAGTTCCGGAGTTTTACAGGAGTTTATATACTGTAGGTATCATGTAAGTAAATCAGTCAGCACAGTAAAAGCTATGTCTGAAGCATATGGAGGGTCTATTAGTAAGTGTACAATGGATCAAGGAAATGAGGTCAGAAATGAAGTGCCAACGGACGGATCAGTAAGCAAAGCGGAAAGGTGTACAACCGGTAACCGGAGAGCAGTGTTCTAAAAGAAGATAGGTGTAAGTCCAGAGATGAAAATGGAGCGCCGGGTGGAACAGGACAGAGAACCGGACTTTCATAGGGGAGAATCCGGAATTCCAGATCCGGAGGTATGGGATAGTGTCGGAGGAAATAGGGGTAGTGTTGGAGGAGTGGAATAGAGTCGGGCGGAGGTAGCAGGGCTATTCCTGCTGAAATGCACTTTGTGCATTGTCGGAGAAGGAGGGATGGAGCGGATGGGGAAACAGGGGGTCGGACTAGTGATATGGATGTTCACAGGTGGTATTGAAGGTGCTCGGATCCGGTATATGACAGTGTTGGGCAGCTCTTCGCTGGTAGGTTGCTTTTTCCTTGGGTAATTCCAGAGTAGTGAAAGCCACACAAGTGTCGTCTCGAAATTTTCGCAACGTCCGAGACAGTTTCTTGAAAGATTCCTCAAGAAAACTTACTGTAGAGTCTGAATGCATTCTAAGCTTGGCCAATACATGCCACTCTGCAAATCAATATAGCAGAGATTGCACAAGTGCATCATGTTTGGCGGGAAACAGCTGGTCAAAGACCGGAATGGCACACTGACAATGAAGATCTATCAGCGAGTCAAATACAGACAACTAGTAAGTAGGAAAAACCTGTAATATGTTTTCAAAATTACGCGCGGCTAATCTTTTCATCTCAGATGTGTTGTCTGAGAACTTACAAATAATGCCGTTACCAAAGGTCGGGACCTGTCGAAACCTACAGTAAGGTTAAGGGTTGGCAATTGTTAGCAGGCAACAGCACCGCTTACGAGATCCCCATACCTGCTGTCAATGGCCGTGATAAGCTCACTACCGCGAGGAAGGGCATGGAGGAGCCTAAGGAGGTTTGTGAACAGTGCTTTCCAAGTGCCTAGTTCACACTCATGCATGAAGTCAACTATGAGCATGCGGAATGAGTCAAAGCCAAGCAGTCCAAGCTTCTGAGAAAATTGATTCTGTGAGTAGAGTGCATGAGCTGATAATAATAAGAAAAGTAGTCTCACTTACCAGAGTAGGTACCCAAGAGCCCTCTCCAAGGGTATGCTCTACCTTGACACCGTCTACTGTATTTCCATTCATGTAGATAAAACCACGAGCTTTGACTACCCTTGTCATCACATACTCATGAAGGTTAGCGACACGATTTTTCATGTCCCTCGAAAGCCCAAGAAAATTAAACAGGCTTTTCGGTGTCAGACAGTGAGGGCACGGACACAAGCCCATGTCTTTGATAGTCGCGATTAGAGCCCTGTAAATTTATGAGTGATTTGATCTTTTTGAAAAGGTGAATGGAGCAACACACTTTTCAGGATAATTGGCGGAATACGTGAAAATTCGGGGAAAGACCCTCCACACCACTCCGTCGGCACATTTCAGAACAATGCCATGGTGGTATGCGGACAGAAAGTCTTCATCCAACAAAATGTCCCAGCAGGAATGAAATAACACCCTGCAACAGTGGGCATGAAGGGACGCTATGCCTGTTTTCAATATGTGAGATAGGCTACTTAAAATATCTTTGACACTGTCAGGAAGCTGATATTGTCAATAGGAGTAGACATATATATGGCAAAAAGGAAAATTTACCGAAGGTAAAAACCCTACCAGGTGACATGCCCCTGACTTGGGTGATGATTGTGCGTATTTCGTCAAATTTCCGAAATACATATACAGCGGCCAGGCCTTGGCAGTCCCGAAGTTTGCTAGATGAGTGGCATTGGAGAAAAACATCAGACCAGCAATGACATGTTCCAGTGAACATCCAGGTTCCTTCCGCAGCCTCTGAATGTTGTCCTTAGCTTCTAGCCAGGCATCCGAGGTGTAGAGTTCGTCGTAAATCCGCTCTTCATGGCCGTCTAGAGGGTCCTTCCATAACCGTTTAAAAGGAAAAAGATGGTACACCCCAGCTTGTACATCTGCAAATGCCGCACATATGACTTCAACAAGAGGTCGATAATGGAATCCTTGGATAGTGTAAGGCTGAGGGCCATCCTCCCTTGACTTTGTGGGAATATTGATAGTGACACCAGTCTGAACCCAATCATCTGGAAAATTAACTCCTTTGCCGCTCTCATCCATATCCAATTTTTGCCAGCTCCGCCTCACTGAGAAGTTCTTGAAATCCTTGTGGTTGAAATCATCCGCCAGAATGACATCTTTGACCAGGTGCAAGACTTTAGTTTCTGATAATAGATTACCACCAGAATGCATCCAAGACATAAGCCGATAGACAGACATGTTGGGAAAGGGGTAAGGCGGCGCGAAGACCTTTGGCAGAGAATCAGCCCCTTGAGTATCACTGCTGGTAGCTGTCGGAGCCGTTTTTGCAAGTAGCGATGATTGAATCAACTGATCCGGTTCAAAGGAAGGACGGCGTGGATAGAACTGACAGAGGCCAAACAAGTTGAAGGTGGTCTTGAGGGTGTCTCTTAGGGTTAGAAGAATGCGTCAAATTCTAGATCGGGCGGGTAGTGAGGCTGTTTGTAATAATGGGATGCCTGCACTATCAGAATAATTGAGATCATCCGGTGAAGGCTCGATATCATCGAGAGATCTTGGAATCCGTCCCATTGAGAGTGCACCACACTCCTCTGAAATGTCAAGAATAATAGGTAAACATCGCAGAATGACCGCCAAAGGGGACATGTACCTGTTTCATAGTCGGTACCAGAACCACTCCTGGGCTCCATCTCAACATCGACTTGATCAATTTGTGGCTTCTCTGAGTCCGAGTCAAGGGTGTGCTGCGAGTCTACAAGACTTGACTCGAACGCACTGCATGAACCGTGAGCCATAGTAATTGACCTGAGGAGTCTGCAAGGGGCAATAAGTTTCAAATTTGGACGGTCCCTCACTGGATGTCCGACGACTGAGATTCTGAGCCCCTGCCAAAGTTGAGAATTTAGTACAGCTCGGAAGGTTAGCAAAGATGTCACTCACCGCGACTGACTGTGCTTTGGAAAGCTTTATACATGCCTCCTTTGCATGATATTGTCGCTTCTGACTCGCCAGACTGCTGGCTCTCTTGAAAAAAAACAGGATGTGCGATGCCTACTGAGTCCCCGATTGTCTGTGGTCCTCTCCCAGGAACAGCCCAGAGCATTGCAAGACACCATCAGAACTTGAAGAAAGAGGAATACACCGATCCAAAGTGTTTTGGGAAAGCACATGGCACTTTGGAGCTGACTAGCACTTGCAAGGACTTAAGTTGCAGCCAGTGGCATGGATATACTATACTAGTCACGTATTTTGAAATTTCAGAAAGTTTCAGCACCACGTTTATGGTAGTATCAGTCATTTGAAAGGGTGATGCAAGAATGCGAGTGACTGTGACAGACGACTCGACTAGTGGTTTCAAAATCAGGCGTACTATGTTACATGATTCGGTGATACTACTGGTATTGTGAAGGCAAGTTCAGAATTGTAACGATACCGCAGACGATACATAAGAAGCGATTGATATAATCTTCACAAATGGTCATCTACATTCTGGACAAGCTCTGTAAGCACATAAGTGACCAGAGAAAATACCTAAAGTAACACATACCAGTTATCCGCAGGGTGCATCTCTTTAGTACTATTTAGGATGTTGAGTACAGTGTCAGTCCGACGCACAGAAGTCTTGCTGTGGTTGCACACTTGGGCAGAGAAATTTGCAACGGGTTGATGGGACAATGCCACGCATTGACCCAAGATATCCAGTAGAAACTGCACTTCTTGCTCTGCCTTCAAGTAGTCCCTTTTTGAATCTTCGCGCATGACATGGGCGAGAGCTTCCCGCCTTTCGTGTTCCGAGACTTCCCAACATGTGGCGTGGTAAAGCATGCGGTGACGTTCATGAACGGCTTCCAGATAGTGGACAACACATTGGAAAGAGCTTAGGCTAAGGTCTTGCAAAATGCTCATATATGCATCCCTAACCTAAATGTAACACATACTATCAGAACTAAGAGACATGTTCGAAACAATTCCTACGCTCTTGCTGATGGCTTCTGATGTGTCATTGAAATCAACAGACCAGCCTGACAATCGGTCAAAAAGACATTGGTCTTCAAAGGACGCAGTCCTGCGATGGGGAAGATCGCCATATTTGCTCTCAAGAGAACAACTTAGAGTCTGCAGCCCAGTTCCGTTATTAGCAATATGGAATGAAATCTTGGAATTAGGTGTTGGAGGAAACATCTCATCATCTGATGTGGTGTGGGCTGCTATTATTTTCAAATTTGAGTCTATCCACCAGTGACTACTACAAATGAGTCATTCATACCTGATTCTATTGTAGAAACTAATGATGGTGAGCTTGGAGGAGAAATTGAATGATGGCTGGGAGCACTGGGAGTCCTAGCAGCGGAAGGATAACAAGGGCACTGAAGAGGTGTGGAGGGGTATACACATGGACTCCCTTCAGCTTGAAGTTCAAGTTCATTGTGCTACTACGATTGGCATGCGTAAGGGTTGTGGTAAATAGGCCCATCGGAGTTTGAACGTCCCGGAGCTTGTGGCAAGTATAAGTCTTTTTTCTTATAGCACATCACAAAAATGGGAACTTAATACATATCCAAAATGGAACTAATTTTAGCACATACCAAGATGGGGAACTGGGTCTGAACCTTACTTCAGGGTAGCCAGAATTATTGCCTAATTGTGCTATGAAGCACTCAGCCGCTGAAGGCTACACATACTTGAGAATGTGCGTATGGTGTCGGAGTCTCTGCCCTACCGTAGTACGTCACCAGTCACATAGCTAATATAAAAAAGCTCACCCCTGAAGTCAGAACATCTGAATCAACTCCCCAAGTGACACTATGCTGCAGAAGAATATAATTAACACTCACTTGGCCTTGGACAACTTGAGGATGTCTGAGTCAGAAAGTCAGGAAGCTGCCGCAATGAGAATAGTGGTAGGTGTCTGCAGCTGCATGTTTTCATTCAAGTACTGATGGAAATCAGGAGGCTGGAGCTGGTCCCAATTTTGGCTGTAAAGTCATAGTACAAGCTCAAGATTCTCACACTGCTAGCAGTGGTACTTGTCAGACTCGCAAGAGGAAGATTGGAGGTGTCAACACCGTTGACAAGGAGAACGTACTATTTCCGAATGGCCACGGCACCCCCGACTATCAAGCGCATCTGCCAGGAGAAAACTGGCACCGACTGGCAGACAGTCCTTGATGTGATTGCATATGGTGAAGAACAGCGAAATAGACGGGATAAAGACATGGTAGTTACTATAGAGGGAAAGTAGTTGTAAGAAATTTTACTTACAGGGATGGTATGGTCACGGTAGATCTCGGATTATGATCAATGTGTGGTAAAAAGGATTGATGCAGACTCGACTTCGCACTTTATGTGTGCTCTCGCGCTGCCTTGGCCCCAAGTCCGAGCAAGCAAAGTATCAGCATTTGCATTGTTCAGATGCATGACCTATTAGTACTATGGTAGACGGTGAGCTGCGAATCCTTGGCAAGAGAAGAAGAAGAGCCTTCGACGCAGCGAATAAAAGTATCAATCGAACTTGAACTTCATGCACTGGGACTCAGAAACACCATAGGACAATAACAAAAAAACGGAAGACTAAAAAAGAAAAGCAGTTCAAGTTTGTAGCATGAATGTCACTCTGGGCCGAATCGATGTATACAGTATATGCCACAAAGTTTGACACATCAATCGAGTGATGCTGACTTTGCTCGAGATTGACACTCGTCAATTATCGGTTGAAAGGATCGCAGTGTGGTTGTTTGACTCGGACAGTCCGAGTCAATGTTCGGTCGATACTACTAGTAGTATCCGCGTCAGAGATCAAACAATCCGATGAGTCAGGTTCAAGTTCAAGTTTGAATTCATTGAATGGAGGCCAGATCCGTAGTACTAGTAGTAAGCCTTGTGCCTACTAGTCCAGATGTCAGAGTCCGGGCTGAATTGATCATTATCATATGATATGTTTGATGCATCGATAGTGATGCTGAACTTTGCTCGAGATTGACACACTGGGTTCGTCAATCAGTATTGGTTGAAATGGTCGCAGTGTGGTCGTCTGACTCGGACAGTCAACATTCGGTCGATGCTAATACTAGTAGTATCCACGTCAGAGATCAAACGATCTGAGTCCAAGTTCTTTGAGTTGGAATTTGTTGAATGGAGGCCAGATCTGTACTAGGAGTAGTAAGCCTTGGCCGGCCGCCTATTACACTGACTTGATTCCCTCACCATATTTTGATTGCTCCTTCATTCACTGCAGAAACGAGACATTGATCCTAGTCTATTCTGAGGCATGTAGCTTGTATAATCCCACCTCAACAGTAATTCCAACCTAAAGTCGACGTGGTAAGGATCCTGGGAAGGCAACAATTGTAAATAGACCCTTTCCAGACTTTGCACTCTCAAATTTCCTGACCCGTACCTTGCAAAATACTACCTAATACCATACTAAGTCGCCCAGGATATTCGTTCTATGGCCTTCAGATAACGCTAGAAGTTGGTTTCAGGTGAGTTCCTCGAAAATTTCGCTAAGTCCCTTAAGACAAGCCATGAACAGCAGATCATGATGTTTTGAGGCACACTACCAGCATGCATGGACTATGGAGGTGGCTGGTGGGCACCAAAATAAGGGTAGGGAGATGGAGATGGCTGATGCATATCCTGAGGTGAGTGCTGTGGGCTGGAGGAATGGAGCCCTGGGGTGTCATTCAACTGACTCAGATAGCCTTCGACGTGCAGACCAGACAAGCCGCCATTCCTTTGAAAATGCATACTGTCAACTTGTCTTCTAGCTCTCCTTCCAAGGCGTCCAGAAAGAAAAGAAAACTCAAGACCGTGAAACTCAACCATCCTCTGAGCCTTCAAACAAGAAACTAAGAACTGTCATAAATTGGGGACACTGCGTCTTTGCCCGGTCTTATGCTACGCGTCAAAAACAAGCTAAATCATCCTTGCACTCACTATCATATCAATCTAGGTACCGGTCTGAGCGAACAACATTCTCCCTTGCCAGATGCTGAAACAATGTTGGGTACTGAGGCAGAAGGAGGTTGTTGTTGCTGGGGACTCTACATATGTATCTGTTGAATATTGATGTAGGTGAAATTGACAATGCATGTTGCCTATTCCAAACTGAGGTCCAGGGCTGAAGAAATCATCACCTTGAGGCAACTGTGGCACCGCTTGGTTCCTGACGTTCAGCGGAGATATATGGGACCTGGGGTGTATTATATTGCAGAGGGTATGTTTCTCCCGCTGGTTGTTGATAATCGCATGCATTAACGTGGGTAAGAGCACTGCTAGGGCGTCTCTGAGGCTGGCCTTAGAACTTGTACTTGGCCGAGCAGGGTGGTGGAGGATACTACCAAGACCAGGGAGCATCTGTGGGGGGCTAGCAGGATGGTTCTCTGATACATTACATGGCTATTCAGAATAGAAGATCCGTTTTCTCTTAACTGCAGACACAGTAGATGTGCGGATCCTCGTAACTGATTTGATATGCGCGTCGGTTAGCACT